TTTGCTTGTAGCATCCTGCAATTCATCAAGTTTGCCTTTCATCCATTGGATATATTCAGTCTCTCCTCTTTTAAATTCTGTGTCAGAAAGTTCCATGAGACTTTCTGGCTTCAGGTTATCCACTGCTATTGTATCGCCCTTTGTGACTGACATCTTGCTTTGCTCTTGTGTATTGTGTGGGATAGTTTGCTTTCTTCAAGACATTGGTATGTGTTCTTGATCTGAAGCCAATGCTCTTGAGATCAGATGGGTAGCTACCGAAATTGTGCGTTTCTCTGACTTTATGACTTCAGAAAAATGTCAGTTCAGTGCCTGCTAGGGCAATCTCTTGTTTCTAAAACAGGTCAAGGTGCTCCCGTTTAAAGGCAAGTTGCTTGCCCAGACGTGTAGGCACTGGTGTGGAGCCAAATGGGGTGAGGCAGGCAAAGGGTTGGGTGATCACAAGGGCAGGTCAATCACTTGGAGGACCTTGCTCAAACCTCTGCTGTCTCAGTGTGCTCACGACTGGGGTCCTTACTCAAATTTTTGCTGTCCATTTCCTACCCAATGGTTTTCTCAGTGTTCCCTGCGTGTTGGCAGTTACGCAGGTGCCCTCATACAACAGCCCCTGCTCCAGCAGTGTCCTGGATCCGACAGGATCCGAAAAGTCAAGGTCAAATTCCCACCAACCCACTAGCCTCTGGCTCGTCTGCAGAGTTCTCAGAAGCCAGCTGGCTGGCTCGTTTTGGGCAGTTGGTGTAGCCCAAGAGAGCTTGGCCAAATTCCCCATCAGTGGGCACGCCTTTAGGTGCTCTCCCAAGTAATCAGCAATGCCCTAGTAAACACAGCTAAGATCCTACTGGCCTTTGTCCTGCCAGGTCAGTTCCCCAAAAGCTCGGCTGATAGCTCCGGGTGATGGCTGGATCCGTGGTGGTGCCCTGAGGTCACAGGGCTGTGGTGGGGGCTGAGGTGCGTGCTTGTGGAGGTGCAAGGGGGATGGGGGAAGGGGAGGAATGCAAGGGACTATGGGGGTAAGGAGCGCAGGGCTTGGACACCATCACCAAGAGGTCGGGGTGGGGCTTGGGTGATGCTGGGGGTTTATGCAGCAGCACCCTGTGTGTTGGGGGTCACACAGGTGTGGTCTGCAGGGGGGTCACACAGTGGCGGGTAGTCTTCGCTCCTCTGTGTCTCACAGTCTTCACTCCTCTGGAGTTCCGCCGTGGGTGGCTGGCTGGCTGTTGCTCTTCCAGGGTCTCTTCCTGGCCTGTCTGGCGGTGGAGCCCCGTCTGGAGGTGGAGTTCTCCCATCTGTTGGCAGAGTTCTCCCGTCTGTTGGCAGAGTTCTCCAGTCTGGCTGTTCCCAGATACTAAGGTGTCAAGTCACCAGTCCTCAGCAAATAAGACTTACTGCGTTGCTCTGCCTGCCCACCGCGTTGCTGTAACACATTGATTTTTAATGAAGTATTTTGCAAGGCTTTTATGTGTCTTTTTTTAGAAAAAAAACGTTGATAAAACTGATGGCTTTGCTCTCTTACTCTTCCATACCAATTCTTTTCTCCCCTTTGGTTTTCATTCAGTCTCATATATACGTTTTGTTTTATAACAGTAATTATAGTTGAATATTGCCATTATTTACAATGCTTAATCAAATCCTTGTTATACCCTTCCTTTCCCTTCACCCTAACCTTCAACTTGCTAATCTGTGCCCTCCTTGCTTCCCCTCCCATTTCTATAAGCTCTCCACAATTGTTTCTGTGTATAAAACTTTGTTTAGCCTCCTCCCCATTCAGTCAGTTATGCGTGTCCCATTACAGATTAATGGCAGTACATACAATGTCTAATTGTCCATTCATTTCAGATTGACTTAGCTTTATATATTCTAATAAAGTGTTGACTCTCTAGACATTATTTCTTGCTTTCATCATGCTCCTTTATAATCCTCCTATTTTTGGAACAGTGCAATTACATTTTTTGCATTTTTCCTTTAGTGGCTGGTTTCTTTCACTCAGCATAATGTGCTCTACACTCACTCATTATGTGTCTTGTTACATGAGTTCTTAATTTTTTTTCAATGCTGCATGATGCTCCATTGTTTAGTGTACCACAGTTTCTCTCTGTATTCATTTGTTGATGGGCACTTGGGCTGCTTTCGATTTGCTATTTTGAATAATACTGCTTAAAGGAGAAATAAAAATGGGACTAGACGTAAATATCTTAGAAGGTTTAAAAGATCATGTAAATGTTGAACAGAAAAAGATGTTTGAGAGGGGACTGACTGTGATAATTTTCACCTGTAAATCCTTTTGGGAACTCTGTGACTTTGTGGATGAGGAATTGCACTGTTAGCCCCAAGTCATGGAGTTAGAAGCCTCCAGCTGTTCTGTTGGACAGAACAGGAGCAACCTTCTCCTTTGCAGTGTATAGCTCTCTATACCCACTGGAGACGCTACTGTGAATTGGTTCTAAGTTGATGGGTCTTAACAACATAAACCCTTGTAATTGTGAGAACTCAGATAAAAAATGCTAGGATAAAAGATCATTTACATATAAATTTTAAGAGAGAATTTTTTGCTATTTCAATTAATATCATCATCATCCTTTAAGACTTATACCCATTGGAAGATACCAGCCTAGCTTCTGTCATCTTTGAGTAGGAAGAGCAAGTCGTAGAGCCGGTACTGTCAGCTGCTTCTTAGGTGCTCTGTTTCTTTGGACAGATATCACCTCCAGGCTCTCCGGCACCTGTACGTCCTGGCTGCAGAACCACGGCTGCTGGTACCTGTGGATGTGGATACAAACATGCCCTGCTATACCCTCTTAGAAGTTACCTACAAGGTAACATCCTGCCCCTACCCCCTATGATTTGCCTGTAATTTTATTTCAATTCAGTCATTTTCTTTGGAGCAGGTGAAATTTTTTGTTTGTTTTGGGGTGTTTGTTGTTTTTTTTCCCCCTTGTTGTGTACTGTTGAATCGTACCTGACTGGCATAGGGAGGAGATTGCCACTCCTCCAGCAGTGATCTGGTGGATTTGAACTGCATACCTTTGGGATTGCAGCACAGCTTCTTGCCACTAGGCCACCAGAGCTTTTAAAATGTTGATCGCTTTCACTGAAAGATGATAGTAGTGAATTGGACTTACTCAGTGTTAAGGCTGTAAATTAGCGGTGTAATGGTGCATTTCCCTTTTACGTTTATCTGCTCAGCTAGTGTAAACTTGTGCTGTGTGCAGTAAGAGGAAGAAAAGGAGAATTCACATTGGTTGAGCACTTCATGGTTTATATCACAGTTTTCCTTGTTGGGCTCTCTTTAGTTATTTATTTCAAATTCATACCATGAAGTGGGTACTCTGACTCATATTTACAGAAGAGAGAAATGCGACCCAGAGCTTAAATAGCTTGTTGGAGTCACATTGGCAGTGGGAAGTAGAGTTGGGCGCCATACCATTCTTCTGATCCCAGCATTTTTGGTTTTTTTGTTTGGTTGGTTGGTTTTTTATCTCAGCATTTTTGTATGTCCTGCTAGGTCATTCAGACTTAATTTTGAATCACTTAGTGTATGAATGTCTTAGAGATTATTAACTAGTCTTTATACTTTAACTCTATTAATTTTGCATAGTTAATAGCAGTGTTCTAAAAATCTGGTTGGATTATGATTCTTAGATTTGTCAGCAGCAAACTTTAAAGTCCAGGATAATGTATTTATTTTTGTGATAAAGGAGTATAGTAGAGAATGGCAACTGAGACACTCTGGAGGAACAGGAGTGGTTCTGTTCTGTGTCTCCCATTGGGAGGCGGGGAGTCATATAGTTGTGGTGAAATAAGGTGGCTACATGCCAGGCCACTGGACTCCCCAGCCATCCCATCAAAATTATGTAAGTACAAGTAGAGAATCAGAAACTAGAGTGACAGTATCCAGCTTCACAAAGTCTGTTTCCCCTTCAAGTAGTTATAAATTAAATCCTTTGGTATAATTCTACATCTGCATATTCATATAATTTTAACTAGTATCTAATTGGGAAAAATTTCTCAAGAGAAAGCTATACCAAATGTACATGTGTGCGTATAATTTGTGAGCAATTGATTAAAATAGTACAGATTTGGGGGTCATTCCCAGCCTATTTTGTGTTTTCCTAAATAAGCTGTACAAAGAGAAAGCAAATCATACATCCTTCCTTGATTCAACAATATTAAGTACCTTAAGTGTTCCAGAAGTTTTACTGGGTTCCATGAGTACAAATATGAGATAATATTGCCATACTCTTTAAGAAACTTCTGTCTATTACAGACAGGCATGAATGCCATAGGAGTGTGATAATGAAGATCTGTGTGGAATGCAGGGGTAAGAGTGGAGTGGTTCCAGCTGTGGGAGCTGGGGAGGCAGTTAGGCTGGGCATTTTGTTTGGACTATGAATGGTGAATAGGTGCATTCCCAGCAGAGAGGATGGCATGTACAAAACCCGGAGGCCTCAGGTGCCAGGCTTGAAATGATGGCAGGTGATGCAGGCTGCACAAAGAAATCTAGTCGTTTACCATTTGAGCATTGGTGAGGACTCTGTGTAATTTTATAATTGGTCTGTGTGTAAACTGGGTAAGGAAAGTGCAGAGAACGGAAATGTTTCTTCTTTGTAGCTTCCCCTGACTATACTATAAACTGTGGCTGTATTCTTATGTTTATAAAGGGCACCCAGTGGTATGAACAAACCAAAGAAGAATTGATGGCTCCTACCCTTCTTCCTGAACTTCACCTTTTAAAGCAAGTGAGTTTGATGTGACTTAGACTTAGAGATGTATTTAAGTGATGAATCCAAACAGAAAGGCAAAGTATTCAAGATAGCTAATTAAAGGCATGAGCTTCAAGAATTATGAGTTTTATTTGGTCAAAGTAGAACCTTTTCAATGTTGCCTAACTTGTGTTTATATTTATCTTGGCAGATTAAAGTTCAAGGGCCGAGATACTGGGAGCTACTTATAGACTTAAGCAAGGGAACACAGCATTTGAAGTGAGTATATTAATTTTCTCATGTACCTTATAGAAAATGAATGAATACAAGTATTGAAATGTTGGAAGGTATAAACTATAGATCATGATCTAGAATGATCTTTGTCACCATTTGCTATCAGCCAGTAGGATATTTGTAGAGTAAAATAGTCTCTATATTTAAAATAAGGTTAATATTAGAAAATAAAATTAATTTATAGTCTAAACATTAAATATTTATTTATTTATTCATTCATTAATAAACAGGAACTAATTTACATTGGGACAATAATGGGACTATCTTTTGGAACAGTTATGAATGATTTAGTTAAGAAAATAAGATTGATGTGCATGTACACTGAAGGAGCATTATAGTTGTCGTTGTTATGTGCCATCAAGTCACTTGCTACTCATAGCGATCCTATGTACAACAGCCCTAAACTCTGCTCTGTTCTGTGCCAGTCACACTGTCTCTGAGACACCCATCCTGATTACCCCAGTCACTGAATCAATCCACCTCATAGAGGGCCTTCCCCTCCTGCGCTGTCCCTCCACCCTCCCAAGCATGATGTCCCTCTCCAAGGACTGGTCCCTCCTTACAGCATGTCCAAAGTAGGTTAGACAGAGCCTCAGAATCCTTGCCTCCAAGAAGCCACCCAGTTTAACTCTTTCCAGGATGAACCTGTTTGTTTTCCTAGCAGTCCATGGTACTCTCAGTACTCTTCTACAGCACCACAACTCAAAGAAATCAATTCTCCTTCTATCGTCCTTAGTCATTATCCAACTCTCTGAAGCATAACAAGTGATAGCAAAGACCATGGCCTGTATCAGACGCACCTTAGCCTCTAGAGAGACACCATTGCTCTTCAGTACTTTGGAGAGGTCCCGAACAGCAGACTTTCCCCTGGCAATACGTCTTTTAATTTCCTGGCTACTGGTGCCGAGAGTGTTGACTGTGGAGCCAAGCAAACTAAAGCTGTGAACAATCTCAATCTTCACCATCCATCCTGAGCTTTATAGTAACTAGTGCATATTACATCACTTCTGTTGCCTTTATGTACCATTCTCTTGTAACATCCTCTTAAATTTGAGATTACAGTAGATTACTTCTGTGTGAGACTAGTTTATGTTCACTGAATATTCATAAATTTGTACCTTATACAGTATATAAATTCTTTTTTAATTAGAATTTAAGAAACCTATGAACATTTTAAAATTTTGTCCCAATAGATTATTTAATAATTCTTGACTTCCATACATATTGCCAGATAATGCAGGGGAAATAAAGAAACTGAGATAAAATATGCAAACAGTATCTTGTATTCATTCTCATTTTTTTTCAGATCAATCCTTTCCAAGGATGGAGTTTTATATGTAAAGCTCAGGGCTGGTCAGCTTTCCTACAAGGAAGACCCAATGGGGTGGCAAAGTTTGTTGGCCCAGACTGTGGCTAATAGGAACTCTGAAGCTCGGGCGTTCAAGGTAATATTGATTGGTGAAAATTGGAAGATGAGAGGAAACAGTTCTAATCTCATAAAGGTCCACTGTCTCTGATACACCCATCCTGATTACCCCAGTCACTGAATCAATCCACTTTATAGAGGGCCTTCCCCTCCTGCGCTGTCCCTCTACCCTCCCAAGCATGATGTCCCTCTCCAAGGACTGGTCCCTCCTTACAACATGTCCAAAGTAGGTTAGACAGAGCCTCAGAATCCTTACCTCCAAGGAGTCACCCGTTTTAACCCTTTCCAGGATGAACCTGTTTGTTTTCCTAGCAGTCCATGGTACCCCCAGTACTCTTCTTCAGCACCACAGCTCAAAGAAATCAATTCTCCTTCTGTCCTCCTTAGTCATTATCCAACTCTCTGAAGCATAACAAGTGATAGCAAAGACCATGGCCTGTATCAGATGCACCTTAGCCTCTAGAGAGACACCATTGCTCTTCAGTACTTTGGAGAGGTCCCTAACAGCAGACTTTCCCCTGGCAATACGTCTTTTAATTTCCTGGCTACTGGTGCCGAGAGTGTTGACTGTGGAGCCAAGCAAACTAAAGCTGTGAATAATCTCGATATCTTCACCATCTATCCTGATGCTGCCAATTGGCCCAGTGGTGAGAATCTTTGTCTTCTTGACATTGAGCCTCAATCCATATTGGAGGCTGTAGTCCTTGACCCTCTGTAGCAAGCACTTCAGGTCTTCCTCAGTTTCAGCAAGCAGGGCTGTGTCATCTGCATAAAGCAGATTGTTGATAGATCTTCCACCAATCTTGACCCCACATTTTACGTACTAATACCAATTTTAGTTAGTCAGTGAGTAATAGCAAAACCTTTTGTTGAGGGGTGAATTGTATAATAAAGAAAACTTACTGATAAGCTAATAATTCATAATAGCTTGTGCAGAGAGCCTTGGGTTGTTGTTTTTTAGCAGTTATAGGTTGTTGGAGCTCTAGCAAGTTGCCTCAACCTTTTATGGCAACATTTTATGAATAAAGGAGGTTGGTTTACAGCCCTGTAGATTGCAATTTGAAGAGCAAGGAGCATAATCTTTCATAATATCACTTATATTTGTTACTTGTTTTGTTTTTCAGCCAGAAACTGTTTCAGCATTCACTTCTGACCCAGCCCTTCTCTCATTTGCTGACTATTTCTGCAAACCAACTATAAACATGGGTCTGGTATGTATTAGACGGTTTGCTGAGGCCCCAGAACTCTGGGGTTCTAGTGAGGAGGGAGATGCACTGCCAACCCAAAGCCAGGATGTTTGAATCCACTGGCTGTACCAAGGGAGAGAGAGATGGGTAGTCTCCTCCTGTGTGATAAACTGCCTCTGAAAACCCAGACTCTGTAGCATTGAGTGCGTGAGTCTTTATATCTGAAACTCTGCTGAGTATATAGTTACCTTAAATCTGATCCTGAGGGCAAGTGCTTTATCATTTGACTTTATATGAAGAAACCCCTCCTCAGTTATTTTACATGCCACATTCATATAGCTAGTAAATTCTGGGCTGCAGACTGAAATCTATCTGTCTGTCTCTGACCTTAAACTCCATGGGTGACCTTAACCTCAGCTGGACATGGCTGTCCTGCCTCCCCAAAACTCGTTTTGTGGTCACTTTTTCCTGCTGCATGTTGTTTAATGCTGAGTTCCCTTTCTAGATTCTGCTCTTCCCAGCCAATTTCAGCATAGCTCTCTGATTTCCTGTCTGTTCATTTGACTTTGAATTGACCCACTTTACCCCACAGCACTTATTATCCTTTACAATCCCTTGGATTGACTTAGTTGTATTTTATTCTTAAAAAGTTATTTTTTTATTGTTGAGAATGGATACAGCAAACATACACCAAATTCAGCTATTTCTGTATGTACTGTTTAGTGACACTGATTATATTACTTAAGGTGTGCAGCCATTCTCATCTTCTTTTCTGAATTTCCCCACCCCATTAACATAAATTTACCACTCCCTAAAGATTCTAACTAGTCTTTCACTTATTATTAACACATTGCCAATCAACATGACGATTTTTACTTGACAAAGTGCTTTTCCATTTTCTCAAACTAATAAATGTAATAATTGTGTTTTGGGGTTTTTTTATAATTCAACACTTTTTAGTTCTCTTAAAAGAAGTCTAAATTTGTTATAGTTTTTAACAGAATAGAATGCAAACTGTCTCCTTTCCCCTACCCTATGAAAATGTACAGAGCAAATTTGTGGCATCGTTTACGCAGCATTCCCATAACACTGCTTCCTTTCACCACAGTGGGCAGTGTGCACTTGCTTCATTTCTACCCTGTGTTTCCTTTTGTCTGCATTTTCTACCCTTTCTTGCCTTCTAGATTTTAGGTAAATGTTGTCATTTTTATCTCAAATTCTATCTTTTGTTTGGCTGAAAGATGGTTTCCAGCAATGGCTCCATTTCTAGGTCAGAAAAGTATCTTAGATAATCTCATGGATTCCTGGAGACTGTCAGATCAGTAAGTGTGGTCTCTTTTAGGAATTTGACTTTCTGTTCTGCCTGGTTTTCCTGGCTCTGTGCTGCACACTGCTATGACTCTAGTCAGAGCGGTTGTTGGTGGTAGCCAGGTAATGTCTAGTTCTGGTCTTGGAGTCTTGGGACTGTGGTTCACGTGAGCCATTGTTCTTTTGAATTAATTATTAATTTTCTTTTCTTCACTTTACTCTAAGACCCCAGATACTACTCAGTAAGGTAGAATGTAGAACATTGTCTTTATGAATTACATTGTACTGTTTGATGAAGATGAACTTGTGTTCATTTCACTCTTATGTTGACCCATTTCATTTTTTTAGCCTGGGAACACATCTTTCGAGATATTTGGTTATAAAGGCAAAAATATTTTATTATTAAGCTAAACTGCTTTTTGGCTTTAACAAGACTTCAGGTGATATTTATTAATATTTGACATTTATCTCAAGACTAGCATTTCAGAGGTATATTCAGACATCATTGCTTTAGGTATTGGAGTCTTTGGGAATTTAAATTTCTTTTCTACATTTCCCTCTCTTAATTATTCTCTTTATTTATGGATTAAAATATTTAGAGATGGTAACTGGACACTATCTAGTTCTTCTAATAGCATGGTGAAGGAAACAGATCTACGTAGAGGCAATGAACTACACATTCCATGTGTATTGACCTTTGTTCGATTTTTTTTACATATATATAGCTTTGAATTACTTTGTAGTATCTTTTCCTTTCTACATAGAAGCCCCAGTAATATTTTTTAATAATCTAAATTTTAGTCTGTTTGTATTTTCTTATCGTGATTTCAATGAACCATTAGTATTTTTTTGTAGTGCTAGTTTACTGGATAGAAACTCTCTCAGCTTCTCTTTAACTGGAAATGTTTCACCTTCATTCGTGAAGAATAGTTTTGTTGGCACAGTATTTTTGGTTGACAGAGTTTGTTTCTTTTTCTTTTTACCATTTTAAAGCTATCATTCCATGGCTCTCTGACTTCCAGTAGTCCTGAGGAATATTCATCCCTTAATCATATTGGGGATCCTTTATATATAATTGTTTACATCTCTTTCACAGTTTTCAAGCTTTAAATTTTGAGGTCCTAATTATGATGTATCTTGATACAGAGCTTTTTGGATTTATAGATTCATGTCCTTCATTAGATTGGGGAAATTTCCTGTCATTATTTCTTCCAACATTTTCTTTCCCTCTTTCTCTTTTACATCTCCTTTTGGAATTTAGTGATGCATATATTAAATATCGTGTTGTTGTTCAGTAATTTTATTAAAGTGGGCCCAACCCTTCTTGAGCTTATACACTTTCTTATCCACTAATGGCAGAGCATGATAGAGAGCATGATAATGAAGCAAGATAATGCAAGGTTTGCAGTCTATTCATAGGATTGCTGTGAGTAGTCAACTCAGTGGCACCTAACAACTACAATAATAGCAATCCTCTAATTCATTGATTCTTTTCTATCTTATTATTTTTTAAATGTGGCATCCATTATAATTGTATAAAGAGATAGTTCTTGTACTCTTTTAAAGTATTCACTTTAGAGCTTAAGAATGAACCTTACAGCAGTCCAGAATAAGAGCTGCATAGACTGGGAGGTAGGGGGGTGGGGGGATGTTATATAACAATGAAAGAATTTTATTTTCCTTTCAAAGAGAAAAGCAAATGAGGGGGCCAGGGAGGAAGATGTCAACAATGAAAATGGAAATCCAAGTTCTCTATAAACTCATCGAAATCTTAGTAAAAAAAGAAAAACAATCAGCATAATTAATCATATTAATAAAATAATTAATAAGAACCACATGATCCTAGCAATTAATGCAGAAAAGGGCTTTGGCAAAATCCAACACCCCTTCCAGATTTTTTTTTTAAAAAAAGCCTTAATTGTTACTATGCAATTAATTGCCAAACTTACATTACACAGATATGCTATAAAAAGCTGCTTCTTTTCCACAGAAACAGGAAATTCTGGATCTCTTTTCTTCAGTGCTGTATGAATGTGTTACTCAGGAGACCCCAGAGATGCTACCTGCCTATATTGCAATGGATCAGGTAGGGTGTGAAAAACGTGTTCTAATTTTCATGAGGTTTTTTTTTCCCTTCCAGAATTTCAGATAATTACATTTGATAGTGAAATAATGTTCTCTGTGGGTTCATTTTTATAGTATGAGATTTTCTTTTATGATTTGAAAAAGCCCTGTCATAGTTGAAAATGAAATACATAAAAAGTTTAAAATTTGTGGTGTTGTAATTTCCTTAGGGTTCCCATTCTCTCTTTTTGCCCTGTTTCCCTGCATCGAAGAGAAAAAGAATATTTTCTCTCTCTCCGCCATCCTTGTATGATCTCTTAAGTGGACAATTCCCACATATTTGTAATATTGCAAAATTATACCTATGTGTTTAAGCTGGCAGAAGGTTACAAAATATTAGGAATTTAAGGAGTTGGAGCTCATTTTAAATTTCTTTTGTGTTATAACCAAAAAGTCTAAATGAGTAACACAAAACATATTTAACAGCTTTCTTAAAGGGTCTGCTGGCAACTATGATAACTTTACAGTGGTCTCAAGAAATGAGCTTTTAGGATCACTTATTATTAACACAAATTATAATCATTAAATCTGAAAATGAAACCGATTTCTACACTGTGTATATGATCTTAATGAGATTGTGCTTTCTTCTCTAAAGTAAGTGGCTATACACATATCAGGAGCATTGTTTCGCTCTTCTGCCCTATCCCAGATACTTGATCTACTTTTTTAAACTTTTTTTATTTGTTTGATTTTTCTTCAATTTTTATTTTATATCAGTGTGCATCTGACCTGTCTTTGCACTCCATTTTGGTTTCCAGAAAGAGCCCTGCTGGCACAGTATGTTAAGTACTGATTGACTGCTAACTATGTTATTGGCTGTTTTAATCTATCAGCCATTCCTCAGGAGAAATATGATCAATCCTTTCATAAAGATTTCTTTCCTTTCATGAAGATCCTCAGAAACCAGTTGGGTAGTTCCATAAATCTGAGTCATATCAAAGACAGTGGGTTTGTTTTTGGGGGATGATGATTCAAAAGTAGGGCTTTCAACCAGTTTGTTCTAATAATAATTATCAGGTCTCTGATAACTTTAGTGCTAAGAAGTTACTGCCAATCCAAAGACCTGTAGTTCAAATCCACCAACTGCACCATGGAAGAAAGATGGTGTTCTGTTAGAAAGTTGGCTTTTTTTAGCCATTTAGCCTCTTGTCTCCAGCTACCTTAACTGCAGAGGACCTGACCTTGCAAATCACTTATCTAGGATAAGTGGAGGCATGCTTCCCATACTGAGCAGCATCAAGACTTGATGTGAGAAAGACTTGAAGCAAGGCTTGTGGCAGCAGGACGCTGGTGGTGGTGGAGAGATGTAGAAGGCCACTTTTGAGGCTCCTGACTTAAGGCCTAAGTTGCTTTATACTGCTCACTAAATGCTATTCCATAAAGGCCTTCCTGGCATGTCTAGAGATAAGTTCAGCTCAGAATCTCTACCCAGTCTCAAGGAAACTGCTTCTTTCCATAGCTCAGTGTCTGTAACTCAAGGTCTTAGGGAGTGTTCCACATTCCTGCAGCATACTGATATCTTGAGGCTGAGTTTCCATAGTAACCCAGCCTATGTAATATACCTAGGCAAATTCCTATAAAAGCCTGAAAAAATTTTAATAAAGTGGGACTTGATCAGGAATCTGTCTTGTCCCCATTCTTTGCACCACTTGTCCCTTTTCAGCCCCACTCTCCCTCCTTTAGGTCTACGTTAATGTCCCTGCTGGCTGGGGCAGAGACTGTGACAAGATGTGACCTAATGCTTCTTGCATTTGTGCTGGCTGCAGTTGGGTTTTATAGTTTGCTTTTGATGATTTGAAAAAAAGCTGCTTGCTAAATTCAAACTGGAGCCTGGACTAACCGAGGAGCTATGCCTTGAACTGTTGGGCTAAAACCTAGACTTGTTTTGGGTGATACTGTGATATTCTTTGCCTCCCTCACTCTCCAACAGCTCTCCCTAATAAACCTCATTGGTTGGACCATAACTGTGTGTCTGAGTCAGCAACGAATAAAAGAACCTCTTGCTGTTTGTTGGTGGGCTCTATAGGTACAATGGGGCTGGGCTACAGGTTTCTGATCTGCTTTCTTCTCTAGGGCTGTGAGGGGTTCTCTCTAGCCCTTTCTGAGAAATGCTTCTGGTCCTGTGCTTCAGTGTTTTGTTTTCTCCTTTTTAGACAGATGGACAGTCTTTTCTTGTGTCATTCTGTGCCTCTGAAAACCCATTGGATGATCAGCTGTGAATCAGTTCTGACTTGACAGAACTTAACAACAAAAAAGGACAACCATTCTTCTGAGAATTTGTGTTTCTACTTCAGATACAAGGAATCTGCATTTTAATAAATCCTTACCCTTTGAGGACTTTATTAGGATGTAAATTCCGATTCTGTTGTATACATTCAAAAGAAATTTTCAGAAGGGAGTTGAACAAGAATCAACTAGTTGGAAGTCCTGTCTGCAAGACTGCCTATCAAGACTTAGAAATCTTAATTAAGTTGCCTTTATTTCTTTTACCTGAAATGACAGCTCATCACGTGGAGTATATTAAAAAAGTGGGCCATGTACTTATACCTGGTGAGACTTTTTATGTGGAACAGAATGCTTCAAAACATAGTGAATCACAGCACAGCCTTTTCTTTATTTATGAACCACATTTTAAAAAGGCAACATACTATAGATTGTACCTCTGAAAAAATATAATCAGAACAACTTCCCCCTTTGATTAAATGTATTACTATTGCTCTTTCTCTTCAAGGCTATAAGAAGACTAGAAAGAAGGGAAATGTCTGAGACATCTGAACTTTGGCAGATAAAGTTAGTGCTAGAGTTTTTCAGCTCCAGAAGTCATCAAGAACGACTACAGAGTCATCCCAAGCGAGGGCTCTTCATGAACTCTGAATTCCTTCCTGTTGTGAAGTGCACCATTGATAATACTCTGGACAAGTGGCTGCAAGGTATTCATAGCATTGTCTCCTTTGTACTTTTGAGATACACTAGACGTTCGGTGGTATAGTCTTATCAGGAATTGCAATTCCAGCTCACAGTGGCAGGAGGGAGTATACTGTTAACTGGTTAACTCTGGCTTCTCCTGTGCTAAAGATATACAACTGTCCTCCTAGAGGGTGAGCTGTGAGTTGATTCCAAGTTCTACAGCAATGAATGAATTTGAGTTAGGTAAATTAGACTCTAATCATCTATATACATTCACCTACTTTGTAAATAAACTATGCAGAGTGTATTGGAGTGAATCTCTTATGAATGAATGCTTGTTTTACTTATTCTTTTGGTCATTCATTGAGGACCTGGGACATCAGGTAATGAGGTTTTCTCTTGGTGAACATACTGTGTTTTGATTTGAAGTGATTCATAATAACTCATGGCAAACAGTGTGGCTTTTAGATTTTTTGAAAGCTATTTTGTGTATGATACATGCCTGAAATTAATTTTTAGTTAACTCTGAGCCTTTTGTTCTTTTCTGTTAATTCCAATGCTTCTGGGACATATCTGAGAACAGCCTGCTTTAAGTAAATTATTTTGTTGTTTTTGTTATGTGCCACTGAGTACAACTCATAGCAACCCTATTAACAGTAGACCTTAACCCTGTCCTATCCTGCACCATCGTCATCATCTCCGACACACTTGAGCACATCGCTGCAGTCACTGTGTCAGTCCATCTCATTGAGGGTCTTCTTTTTTTTTACCGACCTTTCCTAGTATGATGGCTCTCTTGAAGGAATAGCTTTGAGTAAATACTAATTTAATAATAGGAATAGAACAATTGATTCTGTAAAACTAATAGTAATAAATAGAACCTAAGACCTTGACCTTCCTTTAACTTCTCTGTATTCTAGATTCAGTTTCAGAGTCTCTTCTGACATTTTGGGCTTTTCTTTATTTTCCTATCTTAATCATCTTTTCTTTTTTTAAAAAATCATCTTTTGTTTTCTTCCTTTATGATATCCATCCACAATTCCCTGGTCAATCAGTAGCGTTCACTACATAAAATATATTCCTGAGACAGACTCTAGATGGTATATATCCAAGGTTGTATTTTGACTTGTATGGGCTTTTTTCCTTTTTTTTTAGTGTCAACTGAGGTTGCATATGGGCAGTTGAAGGGTTCATGACCCCTGGCTTTGTTCTGTTTGGTGATATTGAGTTTTTCTGGCTTTGTTCTGTTTGGTGATATTGAGCTTTTCCTTTGTCTCTTTCTACAGATGTAGTTAACTCAATTTGTGCTTATTCCATGTGGTGAGGGCCATGTGTACAGTGTGGGTTTTTTTTTGAAGAAAAGATACTTGAATGTAATAAGATATTGGTTATACAAAATTCTAACATATTGTCTTCAGCACATTATCTTTCACTCAGAACATATTTTCTTACCAGTAATACTTTTTATCTGTTAGCCATTTTGTATTCCAATAATCAGTGCATAAAAATGGAGAAGCTAAGTTGAAAGAAAGAAATAATGAAGAGGACTGAACAGAAGATTTCAGTGGGTGGCTCAAGAAGAAAAACCATAATGTTGTTATGAAATGTGCACAGACTTTGAGTTAGAAAGAAAATGAAAGAGAAGAATACACTTGGTATTTGTAATGATCAGAGAACTGAAGATAAAATTCAAGCCTCAAGTTGTAATAGATTAAGATGATGGCTTAGTGATAAGTAATTCCACTACCAATGCAGAACTATGCAGTTTGAATCCATGAGCTTCTCTGCAGAAGAAAGGTGAGCAGTCTCCTCTCATGGAATTTCTGCTTCTGAAGACCCCCTGGACGGTCAGCAGTGAGTCGCTTCTGACTCTGGTACACTGCAACAACAATGGACAGAATATTGAATAAAACAGGATGCTACACAAAGTATACCAAACAAGAATTGGTTGGTGTTTCTCCTCCTAAGAACCTTTTCTTCTCTTCCTTTGCAAACTCATATTCAACATACAGCGTCAGTTTAAATACCCTTTCTTCATTGGTCCTCTAAGACCTCAGGTATCCTTCCTACCATCTTTATTTCCCTCTTACATCTGCCTTCACCCACCTCCTCACTCTGGATTCAAGTGACAGGTCTGCATTATCTGTTTTATATTTTAAAAAAGAATGTATATAAATTTGTAGTGTTAGACATCCAAGGTTAAGGCAGGTGTAGACATCATTTTATTCCAGCAGCGTCAGATCCATTCCTTGAAATTTCATCCTCACAGGGCTTTGTCGTGGGACTAAAATGGCTGCAGTAGTTCTTTTTTATTATTATTATTAAATTTTATTAGTTTTAATGAACATTTACAGAGATTTTGGGTTTTCATTCATTCACTGTCGCACTGTTTTCTCCACCCTCATCCTCAGTTCGTTCTTCTTCCCCCACCCCCCATGTCTGTTTTAATTGTCCAATTGCCACAGTACTTGTCAAAGCCAGTTCTGATTAATCTCCTTTGTCAGTGTGTCCCTTGCCATTCCCTATCACTCCTCCCTGAGAGAGACTTCACGCTGATTCATAAGGAAAAGGGGGTGGCGTTTTCTCTTAGCTACTTCCTGCTGAAAAGGGACGCTGTGGGTTTCAGGGTGAATGTCTTCTCTCACTACTCTAAAGGGCCCCTTTGGCAGTAGGAAACACATAGACTATTATGGAGATTGATTTTGGAATTTAGATGCACTGTTATCAATTGTGCTTAGCCGTACATGT